AGACTCGAGTCTGGGTCACAGTCTGAGTAAAGAGTAGGCGGTTTAGGGGTTCAATCAGGTCGGAGGCCTGGAAACTCGATGCAGAGTTGACGCTTTAGCCTGAGGCTGTAGGATTTAAAAATGAGTACCGTGAAAAGCTGTATCAAAGTTCGGTACCGCTAGGAAGACTGGTTGACGGTGTGGGTTTACGCAGGAGGCACTTTGAGGTATTTGTACGCAAGCCTCGATCTAAGCACAGAATGGCTGGGCTCTCTGGGTTCCATTGAATGCTCTATTTCAAGAGCAGCCTTTGAAAGCTTCAAGCAGGCCAGTGAATCAGGCGCTAGGCTCCAGATTTAGCTCGAAAATGGCAAAACATGACCTCCCTCAGGTCTCTGAATGGGTCCAATTGGCGGACGCCGAAGCGACGGTTTGTGCGTTCTGTTGCTGGCTTTCTTCAACGCCTCCGACATCCACCTTTCGACGGAATGATGCGTCAGATGACAAAAGTGATATTCTCTATGACGATTGCGCAAGAGGAAGTGGTATACCTCCGTGTGCTGTTGCTATGGTCTTGTTGATGCAATATTATTCCAGTGTGCGTTAATGTCTTTACAAGGTTGTAAAATTGTACCATTTTGTTGTTGTACCGTTTGTGTATCTGGGCGTTTGGGTTAATGTGCCTTTGTAGCTTTGTTTAATTTTGTCTGTCGTTATGTCGTTTGTGCATTTGTGCTCTATTGCTTTTGAGCTGCTTGGCCGGGGGAGCATTCATGAAATTGTACTGTTGTGCCGATCAACCTTTGCTACATTGTTGCATTATGCCTGTTTATCGTTATGCTATTTTCGCGTTTGTGCATTGCGCCTTAGTATCGTTATGTCATTGTGTCTAATTTCCATCATGTCGTTTGTGCATCAGTGCTGTATTGTCTTTGGGCTGATGTGACATTGTGCCACTGTGCAGTCTTGTCGATCCGTCATTTGTGCGTTTGTTTTGATGTGACTTTGTACATTTGATACATTTTTCCTGCTTGTAATTATGCGTTGAGCTGACGTTTCCATTGAATTTCACATAGCCTTGCTTTCCCAAAAGTTGTTCTCATCCAGG